GTGGTGATGGTGGTGGTGGTGGTGATGGTGGTGATGGTGGTGATGGTGGTGGTGATGGTGGTGGTGGTGATGGTGATGGTGGTGGTGATGGTGGTGATGGTGATGATGGTGATGGTGGTGATGGTGGTGGTGATGATGGTGGTGGTGATGGTAGTGGTGGTGATGATGGTGATGATGATGGTGATGATGATGGTGGTGGTGGTGATGGTAGTGGTGGTGGTGATGGTGGTGTTGATGATGATGGTGGTGATGGTGTTGATGGTGTTGATGGTGGTGATGATGATGGTGGTGGTGATGGTAGTGGTGGTGGTGATGGTGGTGTTGATGATGATGATGGTGGTGGTGATGGTGTTGATGGTGTTGATGGTGGTGATGATGATGGTGGTGGTGATGGTAGTGGTGGTGGTGATGGTGGTGTTGATGGTGATGATGGTGGTGGTGTTGATGGTGTTGATGATGATGGTGTTGGTGGTGATGGTGGTGATGGTGGTGATGGTGGTAGTGATGGTGGTGGTGATGATGGTGGTGATGGTGGTGATGGTGTTGATGGTGTTGATGATGATGATGGTGGTGATGGTGTTGATGATGGTGGTGATGGTGTTGATGGTGGTGTTGATGGTGTTGATGATGGTGATGATGATGATGGTGTTGATGGTGTTGGTGGTGCACACGGCGGGGACAGAGTCCGTGGGTCGTGGTTTGTGCGCGCGGCCGTGAGGGGGGGTGGGGGGGGAGGTCAAAGGTTTTGTGCCACGTCACTTGGGTCGGCGCGTGGGAGGCGGGGGCAGACGAGCGGTGTTTGCGAGCGCCTGTTAAGGGGGGTCCAGCGTCGGCGGCGTCGCACTGCAACCGCCGTCGCCGCCGCCACCGTCACCACCGCTACCACCGTCACACCGTCACCACCGTCACCACCGTCACCACCGCCACCGTTACCACCGTCGCCACCGCCGCTGTCACACCGTCACCGTCACCGGCACCGCCACCGCCACCACCGTCGCCGCCGTAACCGTCACCACCGCTACCACCGCCACCGTCACACCATCACCACCGCCACCGTCACACCGTCACCACCGCTACCACCATCACACCTTTAACACCGCTACCACCGTCACACCGTCACACCGTCACACCGTCACACCGTCACCACCACCACCGTCACACTATCACCGTCACCACCACCACCGTCACACCATCGCCACCGCCACCGTCACCACCGCTACCACCGCCACCGTCACACCGTGACCACCGCTACCACCGCTACTGCCGCCACCACCGCCACCACCGTCAACACCGCTACCACCGTCGCTACCATCACACTCACACCGGTTACACCACCACCACCGCCACACCACCACCACCGCCACCACCGCCACACCACCACCACCGCCACCACCGCCACCACCGCCACCACCGCCACCACCACCACCGCCACCACCACCACCGCCGCCACCACCGCCACCACCACCACCACCGCCGCCACCACCGCCACCACCACCACCACACGCCCTGCCCAGCCGCCTTTGCCTCCCCAACGCTGCCATCTCTACACGGTGTGGGCTGGGGGAGGGGGAGCGTGCTGGGCGGTCCGCTTCAGACATTCGCTGTTGCTGCTGTTACGTTACCAGCAAGTTATCGTTCACCACTAGCAGGTGCCATGGGTTGACCGCTGTGCCAGGCTAGGTGCAGGAGGTCACGGGACAGACCCAGCAGGGGCCATGGGTTGACTGCTGTGCCAGGCTAGGTGCAGGAGGAGGAGGTCACGGGACAGACCCAGCAGGTGCCATGGGGTGGCTGCTGTGCCAGGCTAGGTGCAGGAGGTCACGGGACAGACCCAGCAGGTGCCATGGGGTGGCTGCTGTGCCAGGCTAGGTGCAGGAGGTCACGGGACAGACCCAGCAGGTGCCATGGGGTGACTGCTGTGCCAGGCTAGGTGCAAGAGGAGGTCACGGGACAGCCCCAGCAGGGGCCATGGGTTGACTGCTGTGCCAGGCTAGGTGCAGGAGGAGGTCACGGGACAGACCCAGCAGGGGCCATGGGTTGACTGCTGTGCCAGGCTAGGTGCAGGAGGAGGTCACGGGACAGCCCCAGCAGGGGCCATGGGTTGACTGCTGTGCCAGGCTAGGTGCAGGAGGAGGTCACGGGACAGACCCAGCAGGTGCCATGGGTTCGCTGCTGTGCCAGGCTAGGTGCAGGAGGAGGTCACGGGACAGACCCAGCAGGTGCCATGGGTTCGCTGCTGTGCCAGGCTAGGTGCAGGAGGAGGTCACGGGACAGACCCTGCATGTGGCATCATCAGCATCATCAACATCATCAGCATCATCAACATCATCAACATCTTGATTTAAAGCTTCCGTGACTGCAGGAATTCATATTCTTGGTTCTTTCGGTAGAGTCACCACGTTAGAAGGGAAACAATAAAATAATAAAAATATTAAACAATACAATTCTCACGACGTTTCGACTGCAACACAAAGCAGCAATCATCATCAGGTGTGAAAACCACAACAATAATTTTTTTAATTAAAATTTTTGTTACATTTTTTTTACATTTTCTTGTTGTTATTTTCAGACCTGATGATGATTGCTTGTGTTGCAGTCGAAACGTCGTGATAATTTTATTGTTTTATATTTTTTATTATTTTATTGTTTCCCTTCTACGTGACTTTACCGAAAGAACCAAGAATATCATCAACATCATCATCATCAGCAACTTCATCAACATCATCATCAATATCAGCAACTTCATCAACATCATCATCATCATCAACATCATCAACATCATCATCAACATCATCAACATCAACATCATCATCAACAACATCAACATCATCAACATCAACAACATCATCATCAACAACATCATCAACATCATCAGCAATTTCATCATCATCATCAACATCATCAACTTCATCAACATCATCATCAACAACATCATCAACATCAACATCATCATCAACAACATCAACATCATCAACATCAACAACATCATCATCATCAACAACATCATCAACATCATCAGCAATTTCATCATCATCATCAACATCATCAACTTCATCAACATCATCATCAACATCATCATCATCAACAACATCATCAACATCATCATCAACTTCATCATCAACTTCATCAACATCATCATCAACATCATCATCAACAACATCAACATCATCATCAACATCATCTCCCCTGCACGGTTCATTCAGGTTCGAGAAATCTCCGGGGGGGAGGAGGGGGGAGAGGAGTGGGGGGGGGGGCCCTTGGATCTTGCTGTCTGTAGGGGGTGGGGGGGGGGGGGTACCGGGGGGGGCTGGTGGGGGGGGGGCATCCCCCCTACCTCCCCCGCCCCCCCCCCGGCCCCCCAGCGCCACGTGACACGAGTTGGTATTTGAAGGACATCTCAAGTGGCCACTATTTTGGGGATTGTGGTCGGCGAGTTTGTTCTAGGGCACGCAGGTTCACTGCCTACCCCCTACCCTGTGTGTACTCTACCCTGTGTGTACTCTACCCTGTGTGTACTCTACCCTGTGTGTACTCTACCCTGTGTGTACTCTACCCTGTGTGTACTCTACCCCTACCCTGTGTGTACCCTACCCTGTGTGTACTCTACCCTGTGTGTACTCTACCCTGTGTGTACCCTACCCTGTGTGTACTCTACCCTGTGTGTACCCTACCCTGTGTGTACTCTACCCCTACCCTGTGTGTACTCTACCCTGTGTGTACTCTACCCTGTGTGTACTCTACCCTGTGTGTACTCTACCCCTACCCTGTGTGTACCCTACCCTGTGTGTACCCTACCCTGTGTGTACTCTACCCTGTGTGTACCCTACCCTGTGTGTACTCTACCCTGTGTGTACCCTGTGTGTACCCTACCCTGTGTGTACTCTACCCTGTGTGTACTCTACCCCTACCCTGTGTGTACTCTACCCTGTGTGTACTCTACCCCTACCCTGTGTGTACCCTACCCTGTGTGTACTCTACCCTGTGTGTACTCTACCCCTACCCTGTGTGTACTCTACCCTGTGTGTACTCTACCCTGTGTGTACTCTACCCTGTGTGTACTCTACCCTGTGTGTACTCTACCCTGTGTGTACTCTACCCTGTGTGTACCCATGTGTGTACTCTACCCTGTGTGTACTCTACCCTGTGTGTACTCTACCCTGTGTGTACTCTACCCCTGTGTGTACCCTACCCTGTGTGTACTCTACCCTGTGTGTACCCTACCCTGCCCATGCATAGTAGTGTATCGTGTAGTATATAGTGAAGTGTGTAGTGTATAGCAGTGTATAGTGTATTGTATAGTCTATAGTGTAGTGTATAGTGTAGTGTATATCAGTGTATAGTGTAGTTTATAGTGTAGTGTATAGTAGTGTGTAGTGTAGTGTATAGTGCAGTGTATAGTGCAGTGTATAGTGCAGTGTATAGTGTAGTATATAGTGCAGTGTATAGTGTAGTGTATAGTGTAGTTTGCTATATCAGCCCACCGATTGTGATTGGACGATCGAGAGGATGGCGGTGGGGGGGGTTTAGTTTTAGTTTTCATCTTTCGAGGATCTCTGATTGGCCGGTTTTGTTTTCGTCTTTCGAGGATCTCTGATTGGCCGGTTTTGTTTTCGTCTTTCGAGGATCTCTGATTGGCCGGTTTTGTTTTCGCCTTTCGAGGATCTCTGATTGGCCGGTTTTGTTTTCGTCTTTCGAGGATCTCTGATTGGCCGGTTTTGTTTTCGTCTTTCGAGGATCTCTGATTGGCCGGTTTTGTTTTCCCCTTTCGAGGATCTCTGATTGGCCGGTTTTGTTTTCGTCTTTCGAGGATCTCTGATTGGCCGGTTTTGTTTTCGTCTTTCGAGGATCTCTGATTGGCCGGTTTTGTTTTCGTCTTTCGAGGATTTCTGATTGGCCGGTTTTGTTTTCGTCTTTCGAGGATCTCTGATTGGCCGGTTTTGTTTTCGTCTTTCGAGGCTCTCTGATTGGCCGGTTTTTGTTTTCGCCTTCGTCGGCCTCAGGTCCCCGCGGCGACGATGGCGTCGTCACGGAAACGGTCGTCACGGCTGCTGCAGGATGACGGGGATGTGGAGCAGCCGGTGAAGCTCGCGCGATACGTGAGGGCCTCCACGGGGACACGTCAGCTCCATGGGGAGACAGCTCCACGGGGACACGTCAGCTCCACACGGGGACAGCTCCACGGGGACACGTCAGCTCCATGGGGAGACAGCTCCACGGGGACACGTCAGCTCCATGGGGAGACAGCTCCACGGGGACACGTCAGCTCCATGGGGAGACAGCTCCACGCGGGGACACGTCAGCTCCATGGGGAGACAGCTCCACACGGGGACACGTCAGCTCCATGGGGAGACAGCTCCACGCGGGGACACGTCAGCTCCACGCGGGGACAGCTCCACGGGGACATGTCAGCTCCACACGGGGACACGTCAGCTCCACACGGGGACAGCTCCACGCGGGGACACGTCAGCTCCACGGGGACACGTCAGCTCCACACGGGGACAGCTCCACGGGGACACGTCAGCTCCATGGGGAGACAGCTCCACGGGGACACGTCAGCTCCATGGGGACAGCTCCACACGGGGACACGTCAGCTCCACGCGGGGACAGCTCCACGCGGGGACACGTCAGCTCCATGGGGAGACAGCTCCACGGGGACACGTCAGCTCCATGGGGAGACAGCTCCACGGGGACACGTCAGCTCCACACGGGGACAGCTCCACGGGGGGACACGTCAGCTCCACACGGGGACAGCTCCACGGGGGGACACGTCAGCTCCACGGGGGACACGTCAGCTCCACGGGGGACACGTCAGCTCCACACGGGGACAGCTCCACGCGGGGACACGTCAGCTCCATGGGGAGACAGCTCCACGGGGACACGTCAGCTCCACACGGGGACAGCTCCACGGGGACACGTCAGCTCCACACGGGGACAGCTCCACGGGGGGACACGTCAGCTCCACACGGGGACAGCTCCACGGGGACACGTCAGCTCCACGGGGACACGTCAGCTTCACGGGGGACACATCAGCTCCCATAGGGGAGACGTCAGCTCCCATAGGGGAGACGTCAGCTCCCATAGGGGAGACGTCAGCTCCCATAGGGGACTCGTCAGCTCCATGGGGAGACGTCAGCTCCCATAGGGGACTCGTCAGCTCCATGGGGAGACGTCAGCTCCCATAGGGGAGACACGTCAGCTCCCATAGGGGACACGTCAGCTCCCATAGGGGAGACGTCAGCTCCCATAGGGGAGACGTCAGCTCCCATAGGGGACACGTCAGCTCCCATAGGGGACTCGTCAGCTCCCATAGGGGACTCGTCAGCTCCCATAGGGGAGATGTCAGCTCCCATAGGGGACACGTCAGCTCCCATAGGGGACACGTCAGCTCCCATAGGGGACACGTCAGCTCCCATAGGGGACTCGTCAGCTCCCATAGGGGAGACGTCAGCTCCCATAGGGGACTCGTCAGCTCCCATAGGGGAGACGTCAGCTCCCATAGGGGACTCGTCAGCTCCCATAGGGGAGACGTCAGCTCCCATAGGGGAGACGTCAGCTCCCATAGGGGAGACGTCAGCTCCCATAGGGGACACGTCAGCTCCCATAGGGGAGACGTCAGCTCCCATAGGGGAGACGTCAGCTCCCATAGGGGAGACGTCAGCTCCACTGGGAGACACGTCAGCTCCCATAGGGGAGACGTCAGCTCCACTGGGAGACACGTCAGCTCCCATAGGGGACACGTCAGCTCCCATAGGGGAGACGTCAGCTCCCATAGGGGAGACGTCAGCTCCCATAGGGGACTCGTCAGCTCCCATAGGGGACACGTCAGCTCCCATAGGGGAGACGTCAGCTCCCATAGGGGACACGTCAGCTCCCATAGGGGAGACGTCAGCTCCCATAGGGGAGACGTCAGCTCCCATAGGGGAGACGTCAGCTCCACTGGGACACGTCAGCTCCCATAGGGGAGACGTCAGCTCCCATAGGGGAGACGTCAGCTCCCATAGGGGAGACGTCAGCTCCCATAGGGGAGACGTCAGCTCCCATAGGGGAGACGTCAGCTCCCATAGGGGAGACGTCAGCTCCCATAGGGGAGACGTCAGCTCCCATAGGGACACGTCAGCTCCCATAGGGGACACGTCAGCTCCCACAGGGGACTCGTCAGCTCCCATAGGGGAGACGTCAGCTCCCATAGGGGAGACGTCAGCTCCCATAGGGGAGACGTCAGCTCCCATAGGGGAGACGTCAGCTCCCATAGGGGAGACGTCAGCTCCCATAGGGGAGACGTCAGCTCCCATAGGGGAGACGTCAGCTCCCATAGGGGAGACGTCAGCTCCACTGGGACTCGTCAGCTCTCATAGGGGACACGTCAGCTCCCATAGGGGACACGTCAGCTCCCATAGGGGAGACGTCAGCTCCCATAGGGGAGACGTCAGCTCCCATAGGGGAGACGTCAGCTCCCATAGGGGACTCGTCAGCTCCCATAGGGGAGACGTCAGCTCCCATAGGGGAGACGTCAGCTCCCATAGGGGACTCGTCAGCTCCCATAGGGGACACGTCAGCTCCCATAGGGGACACGTCAGCTCCCATAGGGGAGACGTCAGCTCCCATAGGGGAGACGTCAGCTCCCATAGGGGACTCGTCAGCTCCCATAGGGGACTCGTCAGCTCCCATAGGGGAGACGTCAGCTCCCATAGGGGACTCGTCAGCTCCCATAGGGGAGACGTCAGCTCCCATAGGGGACTCGTCAGCTCCCATAGGGGACTCGTCAGCTCCCATAGGGGACTCGTCAGCTCCCATAGGGGAGTCGTCAGCTCCCATAGGGGACTCGTCAGCTCCCATAGGGGACTCGTCAGCTCCCATAGGGGAGACGTCAGCTCCCATAGGGGACTCGTCAGCTCCCATAGGGGACTCGTCAGCTCCCATAGGGGAGACGTCAGCTCCCAAAGGGGACTCGTCAGCTCCCATAGGGGACTCGTCAGCTCACATAGGGGACTCGTCAGCTCCCATAGGGGAGACGTCAGCTCCCATAGGGGACTCGTCAGCTCCCATAGGGGACTCGTCAGCTCCCATAGGGGACTCGTCAGCTCCCATAGGGGAGACGTCAGCTCCCATAGGGGAGACGTCAGCTCCCATAGGGGAGACGTCAGCTCCCATAGGGGACTCGTCAGCTCCCATAGGGGAGTCGTCAGCTCCCATAGGGGAGACGTCAGCTCCCATAGGGGACTCGTCAGCTCCCATAGGGGAGACGTCAGCTCCCATAGGGGACTCGTCAGCTCCCATAGGGGACTCGTCAGCTCCCATAGGGGAGACGTCAGCTCCCATAGGGGACTCGTCAGCTCCCATAGGGGACTCGTCAGCTCCCATAGGGGACTCGTCAGCTCCCATAGGGGAGACGTCAGCTCCCATAGGGGACTCGTCAGCTCCCATAGGGGACTCGTCAGCTCCCATAGGGGACTCGTCAGCTCCCATAGGGGAGACGTCAGCTCCCATAGGGGAGACGTCAGCTCCCATAGGGGAGACGTCAGCTCCCATAGGGGACTCGTCAGCTCCCATAGGGGAGACGTCAGCTCCCATAGGGGAGACGTCAGCTCCCATAGGGGAGACGTCAGCTCCCATAGGGGAGACGTCAGCTCCCATAGGGGACTCGTCAGCTCCCATAGGGCACTCGTCAGCTCCACGGGGGGACACGTCAGCTCCCATAGGGACACGTCAGCTCCCATAGGGGAGACGTCAGCTCCCATAGGGGACACGTCAGCTCCCATAGGGGAGACGTCAGCTCCCATAGGGGACTCGTCAGCTCCCATAGGGGACACGTCAGCTCCCATAGGGGAGACGTCAGCTCCCATAGGGACACGTCAGCTCCCATAGGGGACTCGTCAGCTCCCATAGGGGAGACGTCAGCTCCCATAGGGGAGACGTCAGCTCCCATAGGGGACACGTCAGCTCCCATAGGGACACGTCAGCTCCCATAGGGGACTCGTCAGCTCCACTGGGAGACGTCAGCTCCCATAGGGGACTCGTCAGCTCCCATAGGGGACTCGTCAGCTCCCATAGGGGAGACGTCAGCTCCCATAGGGGAGACGTCAGCTCCCATAGGGGAGACGTCAGCTCCCATAGGGGACACGTCAGCTCCCATAGGGGAGACGTCAGCTCCCATAGGGGAGACGTCAGCTCCCATAGGGGACTCGTCAGCTCCCATAGGGGAGACGTCAGCTCCCATAGGGGAGACGTCAGCTCCCATAGGGGACACGTCAGCTCCCATAGGGGACACGTCAGCTCCCATAGGGGAGACGTCAGCTCCCATAGGGGACACGTCAGCTCCCATAGGGGAGACGTCAGCTCCCATAGGGGAGACGTCAGCTCCCATAGGGGAGACGTCAGCTCCACTGGGAGACACGTCAGCTCCCATAGGGGAGACGTCAGCTCCCATAGGGGAGACGTCAGCTCCCATAGGGGACACGTCAGCTCCCATAGGGGAGACGTCAGCTCCCATAGGGGAGACGTCAGCTCCCATAGGGGACACGTCAGCTCCCATAGGGGACACGTCAGCTCCCATAGGGGACTCGTCAGCTCCCATAGGGGAGACGTCAGCTCCCATAGGGGACACGTCAGCTCCCATAGGGGACACGTCAGCTCCCATAGGGGACACGTCAGCTCCCATAGGGGACTCGTCAGCTCCCATAGGGGAGACGTCAGCTCCCATAGGGGACACGTCAGCTCCCATAGGGGACACGTCAGCTCCCATAGGGGACACGTCAGCTCCACACGGGGACACGTCAGCTCTATGGGAGACACGTCAGCTCCACGGGGGACAGCTCCACGGGGGGACACGTCAGCTCCATACGGGGACACGTCAGCTCCACGGGGACACATCAGCTCCACGGGGGGAGACGTCAGCTTCACGGGGGACTCGACCCCATAGCGGACGCTCCGTAGGGGACGCTGCATGCAGGGAGGTGGTGCTTCGTCTAGGACAGGACACATCCTGCACTCAGCACACTCAATACAGGACACATCCTGCACTCAGCACACTCAATACAGGACACCTCCTGCACTCAGCACACTCAATACAGGACACCTCCTGCACTCAGCACACTCAATACAGGACACATCCTGCACTCAGCACACTCAATACAGGACACATCCTGCACTCAGCACACTCAATACAGGACACATCCTGCACTCAGCACACTCAATACAGGACACATCCTGCACTCAGCACACTCAATACAGGACACATCCTGCGCTCAGCACACTCAATACAGGACACATCCTGCACTCAGCACACTCAATACAGGACACATCCTGCACTCAGCACACTCAATACAGGACACATCCTGCACTCAGCACACTCAATACAGGACACCTCCTGCACTCAGCACACTCAATACAGGACACCTCCTGCACTCAGCACACTCAATACAGGACACATCCTGCACTCAGCACACTCAATACAGGACACATCCTGCACTCAGCACACTCAATACAGGACACATCCTGTACTCAGCACACTCAATACAGGACACATCCTGCACTCAGCACACTCAATACAGGACACATCCTGCGCTCAGCACACTCAATACAGGACACATCCTGCACTCAGCACACTCAATACAGGACACATCCTGCACTCAGCACACTCAATACAGGACACATCCTGCACTCAGCACACTCAATACAGGACACATACTGCACTCAGCACACTCAATACAGGACACATCCTGCACTCAGCACACTCAATACAGGACACATCCTGCACTCAGCACACTCAATACAGGACACATCCTGCACTCAGCACACTCAATACAGGACACATCCTGCACTCAGCACACTCAATACAGGACACATCCTGCACTCCGCACACTCAATACAGGACACATCCTGCACTCAGCACACTCAATACAGGACACATCCTGCACTCAGCACACTCAATACAGGACACATCCTGCACTCAGCAGACTCAATACAGGACACATCCTGCACTCAGCACACTCAATACAGGACACATCCTGCACTCAGCACACTCAATACAGGACACATCCTGCACTCAGCACACTCAATACAGGACACATCCTGCACTCAGCACACTCAATACAGGACACATCCTGCACTCAGCACACTCAATACAGGACACATCCTGCACTCAGCACACTCAATACAGGACACATCCTGCACTCAGCACACTCAATACAGGACACATCCTGCACTCAGCACACTCAATACAGGACACATCCTGCGCTCAGCACACTCAATACAGGACACATCCTGCGCTCAGCACACTCAATACAGGACACATCCTGCGCTCAGCACACTCAATACAGGACACATCCTGCACTCAGCACACTCAATACAGGACACATCCTGCACTCAGCACACTCAATACAGGACACATCCTGCACTCAGCACACTCAATACAGGACACATCCTGCACTCAGCACACTCAATACAGGACACATCCTGCACTCAGCACACTCAATACAGGACACATCCTGCACTCAGCACACTCAATACAGGACACATCCTGCGCTCAGCACACTCAATACAGGACACACCCTGCACTCAGCACATTCAATACAGGACACATCCTGCACTCAGCACACTCAATACAGGACACATCCTGCACTCAGCACACTCAATACAGGACACATCCTGCACTCAGCACACTCAATACAGGACACATCCTGCACTCAGCACACTCAATACAGGACACATCCTGCACTCAGCACACTCAATACAGGATACATCCTGCACTCAGCACACTCAATACAGGACACATCCTGCACTCAGCACACTCAATACAGGACACATCCTGCACTCAGCACACTCAATACAGGACACATCCTGCACTCAGCACACTCAATACAGGACACATCCTGCGCTCAGCACACTCAATACAGGACACATCCTGCGCTCAGCACACTCAATACAGGACACATCCTGCACTCAGCACACTCAATACAGGACACATCCTGCACTCAGCACACTCAATACAGGACACATCCTGCACTCAGCACACTCAATACAGGACACATCCTGCGCTCAGCACACTCAATACAGGACACATCCTGCGCTCAGCACACTCAATACAGGACACATCCTGCACTCAGCACACTCAATACAGGACACATCCTGCACTCAGCACACTCAATACAGGACACATCCTGCGCTCAGCACACTCAATACAGGACACATCCTGCACTCAGCACACTCAATACAGGACACATCCTGCACTCAGCACACTCAATACAGGACACATCCTGCACTCAGCACACTCAATACAGGACACATCCTGTACTCAGCACACTCAATACAGGACACATCCTGCACTCAGCACACTCAATACAGGACACATCCTGCACTCAGCACACTCAATACAGGACACATCCTGCACTCAGCACACTCAATACAGGACACATCCTGCACTCAGCACACTCAATACAGGACACATCCTGCACTCAGCACACTCAATACAGGACACATCCTGCACTCAGCACACTCAATACAGGACACATCCTGCGCTCAGCACACTCAATACAGGACACATCCTGCGCTCAGCACACTCAATACAGGACACATCCTGCGCTCAGCACACTCAATACAGGACACATCCTGCGCTCAGCACACTCAATACAGGACACATCCTGCACTCAGCACACTCAATACAGGACACATCCTGCACTCAGCACACTCAATACAGGACACATCCTGCACTCAGCACACTCAATACAGGACACATCCTGCACTCAGCACACTCAATACAGGACACATCCTGCACTCAGCACACTCAATACAGGACACATCCTGCGCTCAGCACACTCAATACAGGACACATCCTGCGCTCAGCACACTCAATACAGGACACATCCTGCGCTCAGCACACTCAATACAGGACACATCCTGCGCTCAGCACACTCAATACAGGACACATCCTGCACTCAGCACACTCAATACAGGACACATCCTGCACTCAGCACACTCAATACAGGACACATCCTGCACTCAGCACACTCAATACAGGACACATCCTGCACTCAGCACACTCAATACAGGACACATCCTGCACTCAGCACACTCAATACAGGACACATCCTGCGCTCAGCACACTCAATACAGGACACATCCTGCGCTCAGCACACTCAATACAGGACACATCCTGCGCTCAGCACACTCAATACAGGACACATCCTGCACTCAGCACACTCAATACAGGACACATCCTGCACTCAGCACACTCAATACAGGACACATCCTGCCCTCAGCACACTCAATACAGGACACATCCTGCACTCAGCACACTCAATACAGGACACCTCCTGCACTCAGCACACTCACTACAGGACACATCCTGCACTCAGCACACTCAATACAGGACACATCCTGCACTCAGCACACTCAATACAGGACACATCCTGCACTCAGCACACTCAATACAGGACACATCCTGCACTCAGCACACTCAATACAGGACACATCCTGCACTCAGCACACTCAATACAGGACACGCTGTGCACGTGTCTGTGTGTGTGTGTGCGTGTGTGTGTGTGTGCGTGTGCGTGCGTGTGTGTGTGTGAGTGTGCGTGTGCGTGCGTGTGTGTGTGTGAGTGTGCGTGTGTGTGCGTGTGTGTGTGTGCGTGTGTGTGTGTGCGTGCATGTGTATGAATGTGTGCGTGCGTGTGTGTGTACGTGTGTGTGTGCGTGCGTGTGTGTGTGTGCGTGTGTGTGTGTGCGTGTGTGTGTGTGCGTGCATGTGTATGAATGTGTGCGTGCGTGTGTGTGTGTGTGTGTACGTGTGTGTGTGTGTGTGTGTGTGCGCGCGTGCGCGTACAGACGGGGCTGATGGAGCCGGCGGCGTTTGCGGACGAGAACGAGCGGAGCGGCGTGCAGTACGAGCGCATCACGCTGGCCCAGGCTCGCCTCGGAACCCCCCGTGAGCCCTTGGCGCACGCGAGAGCTAGCGGCACGCGAGAGCTAGCGGTCACGCGAGAGCTAGCGGCACGCGAGAGCTAGCGGCACGCGAGAGCTAGCGGCACGCGAGAGCTAGCGGCACGCGAGAGCTAGCGGCACGCGAGAGCTAGCGGTCACGCGAGAGCTAGCGGCACGCGAGAGCTAGCGGCACGCGAGAGCTAGCGGTCACGCGAGAGCTAGCGGCACACGGCACCACCGGAGCGGCGCGCGGCAACACCGGAGTGCGGCGCGTGCCGCACTCCGGAGTCTGCACCCTGTCGCCGGGGACGGCTCTCTACGCCTGCACTCCAGCGCGTTCCGTGTGCTCCACATTGGCGCTACGCCCTAGCGTGCACTCCGGCGTGCATCTTTGTTTGTGTGTGTGCGTGTGTGTGTGTGTGTGCGTGTGTGTGTGTGTGTGCGTGTCTGTGTGTGCGTGTCTTTGTGTGTGTGCGAGCCCAGTCCACCGTCCCGTGCGTGTCTACGCCGACGGAATCTTCGATGTGTTCCACTTTGGGCACGCGAGGGCACTGATGCAGGCGAAGAATCTCTTCCCCAACACATACCTCATCGTGGGCGGTGAGTCGGGACGCGCGGACACGCAGACACGCAGACACACAGACACACAGACACACAGACACACAGACACACAGACACACAGACACGCAGACACGCAGACACACAGACACACAGACACACAGACACGCGGACACACAGACACGCAGATACACAGACACGCAGACACACAGACACGCAGACACGCAGACGCGCGGACACGCAGACACAGACACACAGTGACACAGACACACAGACACACAGACACGCAGACACAGACACACAGACACGCAGACACAGACACACAGACACACAGTGACACAGACACACAGACACGCGGACACACAGACACACAGACACACAGACACACAGACACGCAGACACGCAGACACGCAGACGCGCGGACACGCAGACACAGACACACAGTGACACAGACACACAGACACACAGACATGCAGACACACAGACACGCAGACACAGACACACAGACACGCAGACACAGACACCCAGATACGCAGTGACACAGACACACAGACACGCAGTGACACAGACACACAGACACGCAGACACAGACACGCGGACACGCAGACACAGACACTCAGACACGCAGACACAAACACACAGACACCTACCCACCCATCCCGGCCAACCACTCAACCAACCAACCCACCCACCAAGCCAGCTGAGTCCACCCTGCCCCCAACACGCCGATACCGAAACAATCGAATAGACGGTGAATGAGGGTGACGGACGGGGGGAGCGTATGACGGAGCACACGCGTGTGCTATACCACACACGTGTGCTATACCACACGCGTGTGCTATACCACACGCGTGTGCTATACCACACGCGTGTGCTATACCACACGCGTGTGCTATACCACACGCGTGTGGTATAGTACACGCGTGATGGCGGTGAGAGCGATGGGCGTGGATTGTGTCCGTCCGTGTTTCTGTCCCTCGAGATGGGGACTTTGTGGGATGAACGTTGTTGAGATTTACAAGGGGCACCACGGGGTGACCAATAAGTGTCTGAGTCGGTCTGTGAAAAGGTCGGGGCACTGATGAGGGGTTGACGGCTGTGGTGGTGTGGTGATGATGGCGGTGATTGTGGTGGTGGTGATGGTGATTGTGGTGGTGATGGTGGTGGTGATAGTGGTGGTGTGGTGGTGATGGTGGTGATGATGGCGGTGGTGGTGATGGTGAATGTGGTGGTGGTGATGGTGATGGTGGTGGTGATAGTGGTGGTGTGGTGGTGATGGTGGTGTGGTGATGATGGCGGTGGTGGTGGTGGTGATGGTGATTGTGGTGGTGGTGGTGATGGTGGTGGTGATAGTGGTGGTGTGGTGGTGATGGTGGTGTGGTGATGATGGCGGTGATTGTGGTGGTGGTGATGATTGTGGTGGTGGTGGTGGTGATGGTGGTGGTAGTGGTGGCGGCGATGATGATGGCGTTGATGGTGGTGGTTATGATGATGGTGATGATGGTGAAGGTGGTGGTGATGATGATGATGATGGTGGTGATGTTGTTGGCTATGATGACGACTATGGCCATGATGTTGGTGGTTATGACGATGGCGTTGGCGACGACGGCGATGCGTGCCATCGCCCCCCCCCCCCCCTCCCCCCCCCCCAGTGTGTAACGACGCGCTGACACACAAGTACAAGGGCTTCACGGTGATGGGCGAGGAGGAGCGCTACGAGTCGCTTCGTCACTGCCGCTACGTGGACGAGGTGGTGCGCGACGCGCCGTGGACTCTCACCCCGCAGTTCCTGCGGCTGCACAAGGTCACCGCCGCCGCCGCCGCCGCTACCACGACCCCCAACCCGGCCTTCACCGTCCTGTACGGGGAAGGCCGTTCCGTGCTGGTCGTTCCGTGCTGGTCGTTCCGTGCTGGCCGTTCTGTGCTGGTCGTTCCGTGCTGGTCGTTCCGTGCTGGACGTTCCGTGCTGGTCGTTCTGTGCTGGTCGTTCCGTGCTGGTCGTTCCGTGCTGGACGTTCCGTGCTGGACATTCCGTGCTGGTCGTTCCGTGCTGGTCGTTCCGTGCTGGACGTTCCGTGCTGGTCGTTCCGTGCTGGTCGTTCCGTGCTGGACGTTCCGTGCTGGACGTTCCGTGCTGGACGTTCCGTGCTGGTCGTTCCGTGCTGGTCGTTCCGTGCTGGACGTTCCGTGCTGGTCGTTCCGTGCTGGTCGTTCCGTGCTGGACGTTCCGTGCTGGACGTTCCGTGCTGGTCGTTCCGTGCTGGCCGTTCCGTGCTGGCCGTTCCGTGCTGGTCGTTCCGTGCTGGTCGTTCCGTGCTGGTCGTTCCGTGCGGGCCGTTCCGTGCTGGTCGTTCCGTGCTGGACGTTCCGTGCTGGACGTTCCGTGCTGGTCGTTCCGTGCTGGTCGTTCCGTGCTGGTCGTTCCGTGCTGGACGTTCCGTGCTGGTCGTTCCGTGCTGGACGTTCCGTGCTGGACGTTCCGTGCTGGACGTTCCGTGCTGGTCGTTCCGTGCGGGCCGTTCCGTGCTGGTCGTTCCGTGCTGGCCGTTCCGTGCTGGCCGTTCCGTGCGGGCCGTTCCGTGCTGGTCGTTCCGTGCTGGTCGTTCCGTGCTGGTCGTTCCGTGCTGGTCGTTCCGTGCTGATCGTTCCGTGCTGGTCGTTCCGTGCGGGACGCCTCACTTCTCGCCCCCTCCCCACCCCCCCTCCTCCTCAATCCCTCCCTTCAGATCGACTTTGTGGCCCATGATGATATCCCCTACTCGTCAGCGGGCTCCGATGATGTCTACAAGGACATCAAGGCAGCCGGTACCGGCTCCACCATTACCGCCACCACCATTGCCACCACCACCACCATTACCACCACCACCATCACCACCACCACCATCACCACCACCACCATTACCACCACCACCATCACCACCATCGCCACCATCACCACCACTGCCACCATCACCACCACCACCATCACCACTACCACCACTATTACCACCACCACCATCACCACCACTGCCACCACCACCATTACCACCACCGCCACCATCACCACCACCATTACCACCACCATTACCACCACCACCATCACCACCACTGCCACCATCACCACCACTGCCACCATCACCACCACCACCATCACCACCACCATTACCACCACCACCATCACCACCGCCACCATCACCACCACCACCATCACTACTACCGATAGATAGATCCTTTATTGTCATTGTCACCAGTACAACGGAATTTAAAGTGCTCACCAGTCAGTGCATCATTCATAAATTTAAATAAATAAAACGAGAAACAAAAAATAAAATAAAAGATAATCACTAAATTTCACATATAAAAACTGCCCAAGTATACCCACATACCCACATAAAGGTACATTTTGCCATTGCACATCCTTATTTTACAGTCAATTGTAAACAGTTTGTCCTTGATTTTGACTGATCTGAATCGTCTGCCTGACGGCAACAGCTCAAACAGAGAGTGTCCGGGGTGTGAAGAGTCCTTTATGATGTTCCGCGCTTATTCGATGCAAACGGGAGCTGTGCGGTTCTTCCAGTGCGGGGCGTGGGCATCCGGCGATTTTTTTTTTGTGGCCGTGTTGATGACCCTCTGCGGCGCTTTCCTCTTGAGCCACTGTGCGTCCGGTGTGGCAAACGCACATGCGGTATGCAAGAATGCTCTCGGTGGAGGCTCGGTAGAAGGACGCCGGCACTTTCCGTGCGACGTCAGTCTCTGCCGTGCCCTTCCCAGTAGCTCAGGGGTGTTGTCGCTCCAGGATCAGGCCCTCGCCCAATGTGGGACTCCCAGGAGGCGGAGGTCCGCCACCCTCTCCACGCGTGTCCACGTTGATGGTCAGCGGCGGAGTGCCCCTTTCTCTTCCTCCTCCTCCTCCTCCCTCCCCCTCTCCCTCCCCCTCCCCCTCCTCCTCCGGCCTATCAATGAGCTCCGCCTTGGTCCGTTCTGTGTGTGTGTGTCTGTGTGTGTGTCTGTGTGTGTGTGTATGTCTGTGTGTGTGTGTCTGTGAGTGTGTGTGTCTGTGAGTGTGTGTGTCTGTGAGTGTGTGTGTCTGTGTGTGTGTGTGTCTGTGTGTGTGTGTGTCTGTGTGTCTGTGTGTGTGTGTCTGTGTGTGTGTGTGTCTGTGTGTGTGTGTCCCCCACCCCCCACACCCCCCAGGGATGTTTGCACCGACGCAGCGCACGGAGGGCATCTCCACGTCTGACATCATCACGCGCATCGTGCGAGACTACGACGTCTACGTGCGGCGCAACCTGCAGCGTGGGTACAGCGCCAAGGAGCTCAACGTGGGATTCATCAAGGTGGGTACGGCCACCTAGCCTGGCACACACACACACACAGGCACGCACACAGACACACACACAGACACAGACACACACAGGCACACTCACAGGCACGCACACACACAGACACGCACACACACGCACACACACAGACAGACACGCACACAAACAGACATGCACACAGACAAACACAGACACACACACACAGACACACACACAGACAAACAGACACACACACACACAGACACAGACAGACACACAGCCACCCAGCCACCCATCCACCCACCCACCCACCTACCCACACACCCACCCACCCATCTCACCACCCACCCACCCACCTAGCCACCCATCTAGCCACCCAGCCATCCACCCACCTACCCACCCACCCAGACACCTACCCACACACCCACCTATCCACCTATCCACCTACCCACCTACCCACACACCCACCCATCCACCCACCCACCTACCCACACACCCACCCAGCCACCCACCCACCTACCCACCCACCCAGCCAACTACCCACACACCCACCTATCCACCCACCCACCCACCTACCCACACACCCACCCATCCACCCACCCACCTACCCACACACCCACCCATCCACCCACCCACCTACCCACCCACCCAGCCACCTACCCACACACCCATCTACCCACACACCCACCCATCCACCCACCCACCCACCTACCCACACACCTACCCACACACCCACCCATCCACCCACCTACCCACACACCCACCCATCCACCCACCCACCTACCCACCCACCCACCCAGCCACCTACCCACACACCCACCCATCCACCCACCCACCCACCTACCCACCTACCCACCCATCCACCCACCCACCTACCCACCTACCCACCCACCCATCCACCCACCCATTTAGCCAGCCACCCACCCACCTACCCACACACCTACCCACACACCCACCCATCCACCCACCCACACACCCACCCATCCACCCCACCCACCCACCCACCTACCCACCTACCCACCCACCCACCCATCCACCCACCTACCCACCCACCCATCCACCCACCCATTTAGCCAGCCACCCACCCACCTACCCACACACCTACCCACACACGCACCCACCTACCCACCCACCCACCCAGCCACCTACCCACACACCCACCCACCCACCCACCTACCCACCCACCCACCTACCCACCTACCCACCCACCCACCTACCCACCCATCCACCCACCCACCTACCCACCTACCCACCCACCCATCCACCCACCCATTTAGCCAGCCACCCACCCACCTACCCACACACCTACCCACACACCCATCCACCCACCCACCTACCCACCCACCCACCCAGCCACCTACCCACACACCCACCCATCCACCCACCTACCCACCTACCCACCCACCCACCTACCCACCCACCCACCCACCCACCTACCCACCCACCCATCCACCCACCTACCCACCCACCCAGCCACCCACCCACCTACCCACACACCTACCCACACACCCACCCATCCACCCACCCACCTACCCACCCACCCAGCCACCTACCCACACACCCACACACCCACCCACCCATCCACCCACCCACCCACCCACCTACCCACCTACCCACCCACCCACCCACCTACCCACCTACCCACCCACCCACCCACCTACCCACCCACCCATCCACCCACCCATTTAGCCAGCCACCCACCCACCTACCCACACACCTACCCACACACCCACCCATCCACCCACCCACCTACCCACCCACCCACCCAGCCACCTACCCACACACCCACCCATCCACCCACCCACCCACCCACCCACCTACCCACCCACCAACCCACCTACCCACCCACCAACCCACCTACCCACCCACCTACCCACCCACCCATCCACCCACCCATTTAGCCAGCCACCCACCCACCTACCCACACACCTACCCACACACCCATCCACCCACCCACCTACCCACCCACCCACCCAGCCACCTACCCACACACCCACCCATCCACCCACCCACCCACCTACCCACCTACCCACCCACCCACCTACCCACCCATCCACCCACCCATCTACCCACCCACCCACCCATTTAGCCAGCCACCCACGCACCTACCCACACACCTACCCACACACCCACCCACCTACCCACCCACCCACCCAGCCACCTACCCACACACCCACCCACCCACCCACCCACCTACCCACCCACCCACCTACCCACCTACCCACCCACCCACCTACCCACCCATCCACCCACCCACCTACCCACCCACCCATCCACCCACCCATTTAGCCAGCCACCCACCCACCTACCCACACACCTACCCACACACCCATCCACCCACCCACCTACCCACCCACCCAGCCACCTACCCACACACCCACCCATCCACCCACCTACCCACCTACCCACCCACCCACCTACCCACCCATCCACCCACCCACCTACCCACCCACCCACCCATCCACCCACCTACCCACCCACCCAGCCACCCACCCACCTACCCACACACCCACCCACACACCCACCTACCCATCCACCCACCCACCTACCCACCCACCCAGCCACCTACCCACACACCCACCCACCCATCCACCCACCCACCCACCTACCCACCTACCCACCCACCCACCTACCCACCTACCCACCCACCCATCCACCCACCCATTTAGCCAGCCACCCACCCACCTACCCACACACCTACCCACACACCCACCCATCCACCCACCCACCTACCCACCCACCCACCCAGCCACCTACCCACACACCCACCCATCCACCCACCCACCTACCCACCCACCCACCCACCTACCCACCCATCCACCCACCCACCTACCCACCTACCCACCCACCCATCCACCCACCCATTTAGCCAGCCACCCACCCACCTACCCACACACCTACCCACACACCCACCTACCCACCCACCTACCCACACACCCACCCAGCCACCTACCCACACACCCACCCATCCACCCACCCACCCACCTACCCACCTACCCACCCACCCACCTACCCACCCATCCACCCACCCATCTACCCACCCACCCATCCACCCACCCATTTAGCCAGCCACCCACCCACCTACCACACACCTACCCACACACCCACCCATCCACCCACCCACCTATCCACCCACCCATCCACCCACCCGCCTACCCACCCACCCACACACCCACCTATCTACCCACCCACCCACCTACCCACACCCCCACCCCCACCCACCTACCCACCCATCCACCCACCCACCCACCTACCCACCTACCCACCTACCCACCCACCCATCCACCCACCCATTTAGCCAGCCACCCACCCACCTACCCACCCACCTACCTACCCACACACCCACCTACCCACACACCTACCCACCCACACACCCACCTACCCACACACCTACCCACCCACCCAGCCACCTACCCACCCACCCAGCCACCTACCCACACACCCACCTACCCACCTACCCACCCACCCACCCCTCCACCCCCACCCCACTCACCCAGCGACCTCCCCTGCCCGCCCCTCGTGGCACAGGAGAAGAAGTTCCACCTGCAGAACCACATGGACAAGGTGAAGCAGAAGGTGCGCACCGTGGAGGAGCGCTCCAAGGAGCTCGTGCAGCGCGTCGAGGAGAAAGGCATCGACCTCATCCAGAAGTGGGAGGAGAAGTCGCGCGAGTTCATCGGGAACTTCCTGGAGCTCTTCGGCCCCGAGGGCACGCTGGTACGTGGTGGTGGTGGTGGTGGGTAGGTGGTGGTGGTGGTGGTGGGGTACGTAGTGGTGGGGTACGTGGTGGTGGTGGTGGGTACGTGGTGGTGGTGGTGGTGGGGTACGTGGTGGTGGTGGTGGTGGGTATGTGGTGGTAGTGGGTACGTGGTGGTGGTGGTGGGTACGTGGTGGTGGTGGGTGGTGGTGGTGTGGTGGTGGTGGGTACGTGGTGGTGATGGGTACGTGGTGGTGGTGGGGACGTGGTGGTGGTGGGTACGTGGTGGTGGTGGGTACGTGGTGGGTACGTGGTGTTGGGTACTTGATGGTGGTGGTGGGGTACGTGGTGGTGGTGGTGGTAGTGAGTACGTGGTGGTGGTGGGGTACGTGGTGGGTACGTGGTGGTGGTGGGGTACGTGGTGGTGGTGGTGGTGGTGGGTACGTGGTGGTGGTGGTGGTGGGGTACGTGGTGGTGGTGGTGGGTACGTGGTGGTGGTGGTGGTGGTGGGTAGGTGGTAGTAGTGGTGGTGGTGGGTAGGTGGTGGTGGTGGTGGGTACGTGGTGGTGGTGGTGGTGGGTACGTGGTGGTGGTGGTGGTGGTGGGTACGTGGTGGTGGTGGTGGGTACGTGGTGGTGGTGGTGGTGGGTAGGTGGTGGTGGTGGTGGTGGGTACGTGGTGGTGGGTACGTGGTGGTGGTGGTGGTGGGTACGTGGTGGTGGGTACGTGGTGGTGGTGGGTACGTGGTTGTGGTGGGTAGGTGGTGGTGGTGGGGTAGTGGTGGTGGTGGTGGGTACGTGGTGGTGGGTACGTGGTGGTGGTGGTGGTGGGTACGTGGTGGTGGTGGTGGTGGGTACGTGGTGGTGGTGGTGGGTACGTGGTGGTGGTGGTGGTGGGTACGTGGTGGTGGTGGTGGTGGGTTGGTGGTGGTGGGTAGGTGGTGGTGGTGGTGGTGGGTACGTGGTGGTGGGTACGTGGTGGTGGTGGTGGTGGGTACGTGGTGGTGGGTATGTGGTGGTGGTGGGTACGTGGTTGTGGTGGGTAGGTGGTGGTGGTGGGGTAGTGGTGGTGGTGGTGGGTACGTGGTGGTGGGTACGTGGTGGTGGTGGTGGTGGTGGTACGTGGTGGTGGTGGTGGTGGGTACGTGGTGGTGGTGGTGGGTACGTGGTGGTGGGTACGTGGTGGTGGTGGTGGTGGTGGGTACGTGGTGGTGGTGGTGGGTACGTGGTGGTGGTGGTGGGTACGTGGTGGTGGTGGTGGGTACGTGGTGGTGGTGGGGACGTGGTGGTGGTGGGTACGTGGTGGTGGTGGGTACTTGGTGGTGGTGGTGGGTATGTGGTGGTGGTGGTGGGTAGGTGGTGGTGGTGGGTACGTGGTGGTGGTGGTGGGTACGTGGTGGTGGTGGTGGGTACGTGGTGGTGGTGGTGGTGGGTACGTGGTGGTGGTGGTGGGTAGGTGGTGGTGGTGGTGGGTACGTGGTGGTGGTGGTGGTGGTGGGTACGTGGTGGTGGTGGTGGTGGTGGTGGGTAGGTGGTGGTGGGTACGTGGTGGTGGGTACGTGGTGGTGGTGGTGGGTACGTGGTGGTGGGTACGTGGTGGTGGTGGGTACGTGGTTGTGGTGGGTAGGTGGTGGTGGGGTAGTGGTGGTGGTGGTGGGTACGTGGTGGTGGGTACGTGGTGGTGGTGGTGGGTACGTGGTGGTGGTGGTGGTGGTGGGTACGTGGTGGTGGTGGTACGTGGTGGTGGTGGTGGGGTACGTGGTGGTGGTGGTGGTGGGAGTGGTTGTGGTGGTGGTGGGTAACGTGGTGGTGGGTACGTGGTGGTGGTGGTGGTGGGGTAACGTGGGTTGGTGGGTAGCGTGGTGGTGGTGGGTACGTGGTTGTGGTGGGTAGTGGGTCGGTGGTGGGGTTAGTGGTGGTGGTGGTGGGTAGCGTGGTGGTTGGTGACGTTGGGTGGTGGTGGTGGTGGGTAAACGTGGTGGTGGTTGGTGGTGGGTACGTGGGTGGTGGTGGTGGGTAGTCGTGGTGGTGGTGGGTGTGGGTAACGTGGGGTGGTGGTGGTGGGTAGTGGTGGGGGTGGTTGGGTGTTGGTGGTACGTGGTGAATGGGGGACGTGGTGGTGGTGGGGGTGGGTAACGTGGTGGTGGGTAACGTGGTGGTGGTGGGTACGGGGTTGTGGTGGGGTAGGGGTTGGTGGTGGTGGGGAAGTGGGTGGGTGGTGGTGGGTACGTGGTGGTGGGTACGTGGTGGTGGTGGTGGTGGTGGGTACGTGGTGGTGGTGGTGGGTAAAGTGGTGGTGGTGGTGGTGGGTAACGTGGTGGTGGTGGTAGTGGGTAACTGGTGGTGGTGGTGGGTGGGTACGGGGTGGTGGGTACGTGGTTTGGGGAGTTGTTGGTGGTGGTAGGTGGGTAGGGTGGTGGGTACGGTGGTTGGGTGTGGTGGTGGTGGGTACGTGGGGGTGGTGGTGGTGGGTACGTGGGGGTGGTGGTGGTGGGCTGACGTGGTGGTGGTGGTGGTGGGTACGTGGTGGTGTGTGGGTGGGTACGTGGTGGTGGGGTACGTGGTGGTGGGTAACGTGGTTGTGGTGGGTGGGTAACGTGGTGGTGGTGGTGGTGGTGGGTACGTGGTGGTGGTGGTGGATAGTGGTGGTGGTGGTGGTATGTGGTGGTGGTGGTGGGTATGTGGTGGGTGGTGGTGGGGGTGGGTACGTGGTGGTGGTGTGGTGGTGGTACGTGTGGTGGTGGTGGTGGTGGTACGTGGTGGTGTGTGGTGGGTATGTGGTGGTGGTGGTGGTGGGTACGTGGTGGTGGTGGGTACGTGGTGGGGTACGTGGTGGTGGGTAGGTGGTGGTGGTGGGTACGTGGTGGTGGTGGTGGGTACGTGGTGGTGTGGTGGGTACGTGTGTGGTGGTGGTGGTGGTATGTGGTGGTGTGGGTGGTGGTACGTGGTGGTGGGTACGTGGTGTGTGGTGGTGGGTACGTGGTGGTGGTTACGTGGTGGTGGTGGTACGTGGTTGTGGTGGGTAGGTGGTGGTGGTGGGGTAGTGTTGGTGGTGGTGGGTACGTGGTGGTGGGTACGTGGTGGTGGTGGTGGTGGGTACGTGGTGGTGGTGGTGGTGGGTACGTGGTGGTGGTGGTGGGTACGTGGTGGTGGTGGTGGTGGGTACGTGGTGGTGGTGGTGGGTGGGTTGGTGGTGGTGGGTAGGTGGTGGTGGTGGTGGTTGGTACGTGGTGGTGGGTACGTGGTGGTGGTGGTGGTGGGTACGTGGTGGTGGGTATGTGGTGGTGGTGGGTACGTGGTTGTGGTGGGTAGGTGGTGGTGGTGGGGTAGTGGTGGTGGTGGTGGGTACGTGGTGGTGGGTACGTGGTGGTGGTGGTGGTGGTGGGTACGTGGTGGTGGTGGTGGTGGGTACGTGGTGGTGGTGGTGGGTACGTGGTGGTGGGTACGTGGTGGTGGTGGTGGGTGGGTACGTGGTGGTGGTGGTGGGTACGTGGTGGTGGTGGTGGGTACGTGGTGGTGGTGGGGGAATGTGGTGGTGGTGGGTACGTGGTGGTGGTGGGTACTTGTGGTGGTGGTGGGTATGTGGTGGTGGTGGTGGGTAGGTGGTGGTGGTGGGTACGTGGTGGTGGTGGTGGGTACGTGGTGGTGGTGGTGGTGGGTACGTGGTGGTGGTGGTGGGTAGGTGGTGGTGGTGGTGGGTAGGTGGTGGTGGTGGTGGGTACGTGGTGGTGGTGGTGGTGGTGGGTACGTGGTGGTGGTGGGGGTGGTGGTACGTGGTGGTGGTGGGTGGTGGTGGTAGTGGTGGTGGGTACGTGGTGGTGGGTACGTGGTGGTGGTGGTGGGTACGGTGGTGGTGGGTACGTGGTGGTGGTGGGTACGTGGTTGTGGTGGGTAGGTGGTGGTGGGGTAGTGGTGGTGGTGGTGGGTACGTGGTGGTGGGTACGTGGTGGTGGTGGTGGGTACGTGGTGGTGGTGGTGGTGGTGGGTACGTGGTGGTGGTGGGTACGTGGTGGTGGTGGTGGTGGGTACGTGGTGGTGGTGGTGGTGGGTAGGTGGTGGTGGTGGTGGTGGGTACGTGGTGGTGGGTACGTGGTGGTGGTGGTGGTGGGTACGTGGTGGTGGGTACGTGGTGGTGGTGGGTACGTGGTTGTGGTGGGTAGGTGGTGGTGGTGGGGTAGTGGTGGTGGTGGTGGGTACGTGGTGGTGGGTACGTGGTGGTGGTGGTGGTGGGTACGTGGTGGTGGTGGTGGTGGGTACGTGGTGGTGGTGGTGGGTACGTGGTGGTGGTGGTGGTGGGTACGTGTGGTGTGGTGGTGGTGGGTAGGTGGTGGTGGTGGTGGTGGGTACGTGGTGATGGGTACGTGGTGGTGTGGTGGTGGGTACGTGGTGGTGGGTACGTGGTGGTGGTGGGTACGTGGTTGTGGTGGGTAGGTGGTGGTGGTGGGTACGTGGTGGTGGTGGGTACGTGGTGGTGGGTACGTGGTGGTGGTGGTGGTGGTGGGTACGTGGTGGTGGTGGTGGGTACGTGGTGGTGGTGGTGGTGGGTACGTGGTGGTGGTGGTGGTGGGTACGTGGTGGTGGTGGTGGTGGGTACGTGGTGGTGGGTACGTGGTGGTGGTGTGTGGTGGTGGGTAGGTGTGGTGGTGGGTACGTGGTGGTGGTGGTTGGTTGGGTACGTGGTGGTGGTGGTGGTGGTGGTACGTGGTGGTGGTGGTGGGTACGTGGTGGTGGTGGTGGTGGGTACGTGGTGGTGGTGGTGGTGGGTACGTGGTGGTGGGTACGTGGTGGTGGGTACGTGGTGGTGGTGGTGGGTACGTGGTGGTGGTGGTGGTGGTGGTGGGTACGTGGTGGTGGTGGTGGATAGTGGTGGTGGTGGTGGGTATGTGGTGGTGGTGGTGGGTATGTGGTGGTGGTGGTGGTGGTGGGTACGTGGTGGTGGTGGTGGTGGTGGGTACGTGGTGGTGGTGGTGGTGGGTACGTGGTGGTGGTGGTGGGTATGTGGTGGTGGTGGTGGTGGGTAC